TATGTGTTGGTTGGAATTTTGATATTGCAGGAGCAATAGGACATACAGTAGGTTTGCTGACACTTCTATGGATATTAGTATATATAGTACTGTGGATCAAAATAAAGTGGTGGGACAAAATCATTACTTGCAGGCAGAATCGTAAAGTATTACTCAGCATATGTTGTCAACTTGGGTTATTATTATTTCAATTGTGTTTCCTCTTGTGTCTTTTAGCAATGATGGCAGGAGTACTTACATATATAGCTCTTTCTTGATCATTTTATAAACTAACTCTAGAAGATGTGCTAGATATTAATTTAATCTTTATTGTACTAAATTCAGGAACAGGATTAGAACTATTCCCTACTTCAAAGAAATCAAAATCCCTAGCAGACTACTGTAGAGAGGCAGTGGAGAATAACCAAGGACAAGAAGAAGGAGCTTTAGTACCAATAAAGAACAGATTAAGAAGAAGCAGAGTCCAGGATCATCAAATTAAAATTGATCTTCTATTGGAACTGGCAGAACAAGAATGTAAGAAGACACTGGGTGATATGTATCACTATGGTACTGAAGATCATATTAACACTATCAATGAAAATGAGATGAAGACAATTGCTCAAGTTGCCTACCGTAAGGTAACCACTAATGATGGACAGCAGGACAATAATGGCCAACGATATAATACAAGACAAGGTGCATCTATCAATGTCCCAACAGAAAGAGATAGACTACTAGGAAACACCAGAAGAAATAACAATAACTATTCACATTTTCACTAACAACTTGATATAATGTTGCTATAGTTCAAGTTGTACTTATAGTTTTCACTACTCTACTAATTGTAACTACTACCAATTACTTACAATAAATTTTTTTTAATAGATTTCTGAATTACATGTAATTCGTGAAACTTTTTGGCGATGAATACTATCCCATATGAATATCATACAAGTCATGAATACGTACATGTATAGCCATGAATCAATAATTATGCATACTCAGCATGTGTTCACTCAGCACTTATGCTGCTGAGTGAACAATTATTAGAATATTTATTATAGTAGTCTATAAAAGCTATTCCAAAGCTGAAGTGATCAGGATCTCTCAAAGGAAAGCTTAGCTGTATTCTTAGGATATATATAGCAGCAAAACAACAACGACAACATGGATCTTGATACTTTTTTTACAACACTACTTATAATATTTGGGATTTCATTTATCATGGCAATCCTAGTGGCAATAGTTGGCTGTGTCTGTCTCAAACCAGATGAGATGTTGAGGAAAGTATTTCCATACATCAAAAAGAATGGTAACCATATCGTTATATTCGACTGCCTGATTGACAGATTTTCTGTCAAGCTCCTTTACTTTTACCTGACATATGTTGTTGCCATCACTCTAGCTGATATCTTATTCAATGCTCTGGTCACTACATCTAGTATGTACAATCCTTATGATGGACTCGACTGCCTAGGCCTCTTGTACAATGGCACAATAATTGAGTTGACTTCAGAAGAACAGGCTGAGATGGACGAAGTTATATCAATATTGTGCATGGGCTGGAATTTCAATTTCGCAGTAGCAATAGGACACATAGTAGCTGTGCTGACTCTATCATGGATATTGGTATCTATTGTACTGTGGATAAAAATAAAGTTGGGGTACAAAATCGTTAACTGCATTATAAATGGTAACCAACGAATTGGTGTTTGTAGCTTCTGTATAATGATTTGGTCTCAAATTTTTTTCAGTTTGTGTACTGTAGCTGCAACAATGGGAGCAATTATGTTTTTTTTCCCAAAAGGTACTTTAGATCTTTTGTTAATCTGCGCCATCTTGAATTCAGGGCTAGCAATACTCACGTGTCTAAGGAAACCAAGATCCCTTGCAGACCACTGTAAAGAAGCAGTAGAGGGTAGGCAAGGAGAAGAAGAAGAAGCTTTAGTACCAATAAAGAACAGATTAAGAAGAACCCGGGGCCATCCAATTCAAGTTGATCGTCTAAAGGAACAGGCAGAGCTAGAATGTAAGAAGGCACTGGCTGATATTGACGAAGAAACAGGAACTATCAGTGAAGATGAAATGCAGACAATTGCTCAAGTTGCCTACCGTAAGGTAACCACTAATGATGGAGGAGGGCAGTATAATAATGGCCAACAATACAATGGAAGACGAGGTGGATCTATCAATGGCCCAACAGAAAGAGATAGACTACTTGGGAACACCAGAAGAAATGAAAACTATTCACGCATTACATAACAACAACTACTACAACAACTTGATAAACACTTTCCTACCATTCCTAAACTAATTATTACTGATTACGTAGTTGTTCTGCTGTTAACTCTAATTGCTGCTAATTACTACTGTTGCTTTTGCTGTCTGCTGTATAGTTATTTTATTTTTAGATGTTAGCTATTTGAATATTAATATAACAATATAATACATATACTACACGCACAAGGACAGATACAGCTTTAAGAGTAATTCCTGTTCTTATTAAGTTGTTCTGCTTGTTTGCAACAACAACTCCCATCAAAAAATTCCATTACAATACCCCATATGAATATCATACGAGTCATGAATATATAATTATGCATGCTCAGCATG